ATTCCCGGGCAGCGGGCGGGCCTCCTCTCCGCTTGGATCTCTCTGATCCCACGGACTTCGCTTCCCAGGCGTACTTTCAGAGCATTTGCCTGCCGGACAGTGTGGATGAAGAGTACATGGCCAGCCAGACGCGGGCTGCTCTCCTCCATCCGGAGTGGCGGATCCTCAACCACCTGATGTGCACTTCTTACACACCCAGCTAGGGCTCGTCCAACCGGGTCACACTCCGGACTCTCTGGTTGTTGCATGCGATGGGTCGTTCTGAGGACACCATCCAGCTGGGCTCTGTGCTTGCCCGGACGTTCACTAAGGCAGCCATCAGCACGACTCGCAGCCTCGTTTGTGGCCCGGTGATCACCGCCTTGGCCCGCAACTACGGGGTGGACTACACAGGGATGACATTGGTCCGCGGACCAACCCCACTCGGCGAGCCTACTCTCCGCCACCAACACTTGGTTGCTCGCCTCGGGCGTGTGCGCTGGATCGCGGGCCTTCCTCAGCCGCCTATACCTGCAGAGGGCGACCAGGCCGAGTGGAGCGCCGCTGGTGGGCGCCGAGTTCCCCGTCGTGCCCAGGCTCCCGCGAGCCCCTCTCCTGCTCCCCGGTCTCCTTCTCCAAGGTCACCTCCTCCAGTGGTGGTGCCCATCTCCGACCAGTTGGCGGCGATCGCTCAGCAGAATGAGCGCATCCTGGCCGGCCAAGAGCGCATCCACACCCGCCTTGATCGTGAGCGGGACCGAGGGCGTCGTCTCATGTCGGGGCAGCACTACATCATGTCCTACTTGGGCTTGGACCCGAACGCGGTCCACTACCCGTTTGTGCAGTCCCCAGGGTTTGAGGATGAGTACCCTCCACCCACCGGCGATGGTGGTGATGCCTTCTAGAGCGGGTTTTGTGCTTTATTTGTTTCCAGACTGAGACTCCGTGTTTTGTGGTTTCATTTTGTTTTTTATCTTGGATTGTCGACTTGGCACTCTGATTTCTATCACCCAGTGTGTGTGTTTTTGTTGTCTCTAGCTCTGTGCCCCCTTCTTTTGATTGGTCCGCCTTCCAGTCAACGTTCCTGCCACTGTTTCACGGTAACATCGTTCCCCTTCCCTCTGCTCCATTGAGGACATTGTCGCGTTTAAGTGTGTGTGGGGGGGGGGGGGGTTCTTTGTATGAATTGGAACATATATATGTGTGCTTGGAGCCTAGTCCACTGTCCAAATCTTGAGATTTGAGGGCTCCAAGCGCGGCTGTTTGCTTGATGATTGATCGTATTGGCACTGTGGATGTGATTAGTGAATTGAATGGCTTTTGACTTGATACATGACAACTTGAGTGTGACTTAGACAACTTAATGTGATGATTGAGATGTGCAGTAGAATTGTGTAGGGGTTCAGTTTTTTTCAACTGTCTGCTCACCGAATGTGACTTGGTTTGATCACTTGATTTTGACAGTCATTCATGCATCTAGTTCAGGGAATCAGAACGAGAGATAGAGCATATAGGTAGCCATGTGAGATTTGAACCTGCTCGTTTCTTTCTTGTGCGATAGTTTCCTCTTCCATGATGTGCTGCATTCACGTTGTCATTAGCTAAGATGATGGAGGCATAGGATTAGCCCACGACCAAATTGACTGTCCTGGTGTGTCATACCCCTAGTCAGCCCCTTTGAGCCGTGTGTTTTCTTTCTTTCGGTCTTCAATGAAAAGTCACCCTTTTGCATCTTTTAGAAGGTTCCACAGAGTGATTTTTTCTTGTTCTCTGCTGTTTCTGCTAAATGTAATGTGAGGGTTGGAGGTAGTGCTTAAAAGTTGGGCAGGTGTTTGAAAATGTGCAGAGGCGGTGGTTCTCTTATGAAATGAAAAATAATGAAAGAAAAACAAAGAAAAAAAAATGAAAGCAAAAGAGAGCCACCACAAAAAATCTGAATAATGCCCATGTAGTAGTGTTTCTTAGCAGTCTGGCTTAGAAATACTAGCATTTATGTAACCTCCTTCGCTCTTGTGCTCTGAACTTGAGTAATGCAGAATAGCAGAAAGAAAGTTATTGGTTTGATTGATTGTGAGTCTATTGGGTTTGGAAATGTGGAACCTTGTGTTGTATGAATATTTCCACCACCTAAAAGGCCTTATCCCCATGTCCAAGACCCTAGCCAGTCATCTGAACCTGTGTCTAAGCCTCCGGATTAGTTAGTGATGACACCCCATATGTGAACTCTAGCACTTAGAGGCTGCATTCATGATGAAGAGATGTTAGAGACTGAGAGATTAAGCATGCGCATTTTTCGCATCATATTGTCCTGACCCCACTGGTCGAGAGTGAGCGATTCATTTTCTCTTATTCTCTATACTCTTTATCCCGGTGAGGACCTAGATTGCTCGCTCTTAATTTTGATATCTTGAACTTTGTGCATGACGTGACTGTTTTGAACAAGTGGTTGAATCAAGTCTATGTTGGTTGGTGAATAGAAGGGAGACTCTTCCTTTGTTCGATTTTACTGCATTCGAATGTCATCTGTGGTGGTTGTCTAGGTTGTCATTGAGGTTGTCCATGTGTTAATGATCGAAAGCCAGTATGATCCACGTGTTTTGTGCCGATATGTCATGCCTTGTTGTTTTGAGCTTACCTTGTGTCTGACTTGGTTTGCTTGGGGACAAGCAAACGGTTAAGTGTGGGGGAATTTGATAACGATGTAATTGCACATATTTGCGCCCCTAGTTCTTATCCATTTGAGGGGCATAGTCATGTGTTTTTGGCCTATTTTACTCCGGGTTGTGCTATTTTGTCATATTTCAGGTCCCAGGCGTCAAAGGAAAGGCTAAGCACGAGTTTCGGGGCATTTGGAAGTCATTTCGTCGAGCTGGAGCCAAAACACGGGCAGACCTGAAACAGAACACGGCCGTGTTCTGTGGCCGTGCTTTTACTACCGAGAGCAAATTCGAGTTTGGCAAACATTGGCTAAAAACACGGGCAGGGCTTAGACAAAGCACGGCCGTGGCCACTAAAGCACAGCCGTGTCCATCATCAAACACGCCCGTGTTTCGCCCGATGCACTGGCTGTGTAATTAACCCTAGCCAAAGCACGGGCGGGCTGAGGCATTACACGGCCGTGCCCTCGACCGTGCTTTGGTCACTGATTCCCTTTTAAGCATATTTTCAGTCAAAGAGAAGGGGATCGGACTTTTTGAGCAAAAACAGAGCCCTAGAGAGAGAAAGTACAAAGAACACATCCTAGAAGCTATCTTGGAGCTGGGTTTCATCAAATCAAGCTTGGAGATCGTCATAGGAGTGGAAATCATCATCCCAGAGCAGATTCTTCCCATTGTAATGAGTATGACTGCTTTGTACCTTGTTTTCCTCTCTCTCTCTATGGAGTAGAACCCCTCTCTCACTTGGGGATGAAGAACCCTAGTTCTATGTGTTAGGGATTGATTGTAATGACTTGGGATGATATTACTGTTTGATTTTAATCGAATGATGCATGTTTATTGAGTCAATTGAAGTCTGATAAACTTTTCCTGATTCCTGCTGCAATCTGAGATAGATAGAATCTGATTAGGTTGCTAGAGTCTCATCATTCGGTAGTAGGAGATTGGCTATACGAGAGTTAGCCAGTTTACTGCTTTGTACTGGAATCCAATTCCAGTTGTGGAGTTCTGTTCTTACTGCTTCTGCTTTCTATCCCGGTGAAGACTAATCGTCTGCCGGGTAGTTAGACTGAGAGCGCTTGGTTAGCTTAAGAGATTCCAAGCTACTGTCGGATCTTCCGCAGTCTAATCAACAGTAAATCAACCCAGGGAAATACAATTGAAACCTAACTAAGGAGCTAGGGGGACTCATTCCCGAGTGACTCTTACCTGCTTGAGAAACCGTATCAATTCCCGATTTCTTTCTGCTTTTGCTTTTAAACAACAATCACTTACTTTAGTTGGCTAGATAATAGATAATCACTGAGTAAGCAGTAGATCTAGACCCCGGGTTGATAATATAACTTGTCACTTTACTGCATTCCCAGACTGCGATTATACTTGGTCGCAGTTTGGTGTTGTGTTTTAGTGCATCAGCCCGCCAAGACCAACGGCCCGCTACTCGGCCCACCGCCACCTCCACTGGGCTTCTGATATCGTCCTATCACTCCCCGCCAGCTTGCCAGTTCCTCCTCTTTGTTATCTACAAGACGAAAAGCAGTCCGTAGTGAATCAAGTTCAAAGACCCGAACTGCGACCGCAATCTCTGGGCGGAGTCCCGCCATGCATAGGCCCACCAATGTCTCTTCTGGGACGCCCTTGCATTGATGACCCAGTTTGAAGAACTCAGCCCTATACTCCGCTACCGTCCCTGTCTGTCGCAACTTGGTCAACTGCTCCGGAGCCCAATCCTTCAGATTTCCCAAACTGATACCGCAACTCCTCCTTAAACATGGGCCAAGTGATTAGTGTCTAGGCTTCCGCATATGAACGCTCCATCCACTCTCACCACTGCAGGGCATCCCCCTCCAGGTAAAAGGAGGCTAGCTGGTCCTTTCGTTCTTCCCTGGTGGGGTGGTTCTTAAACCATCGTTCAGTTGAGTACAACCAAAGACCACCATCCTCACGACCATTGAATTTTGGGAACTCAATGGTGGGAGGTTTAGCCCTAAACACAATGTCATTTTCAGCATCAAAACCACGGGGATAACCGTCATACCTTCCATAACCTGGAGGCCCACTGGAATAGTGCTGCGAGAATCGTGGGTCTCCTTCACGCCCCCACTTATCCTCCCCTTTGTCCCGGTACCCCGCTCGCCGGCCTAGCTCATTCCTCTTCCTTCGATCGCCATTCCAGGTTCCCATCGGTTCCCTCCCCGCGCTCCGTTGGTTCGCAAAAGGGGGATAAGGCCCGCTGAACTCGTCGAGCCGGCCTTGAGGGCCTGGGGTTCCCCTGCTGCCCGCATGGTTTGGGTAACCGGTCGGTTGAAGCGGTTCGACTGGGTTCGGTCCGACCACTGAGGGTCCGGCCCACCCCGATTCGCCTCACGTCAGTCTGACCGGTGTGGTTTTGGCCCATTGCACCCGGCCGCCCAGCTTCCCATCCTCGGCCCGACTCCCTCCGGGCCCGCCTTCCATCCTAGTTCGGCCCACCAAACTGAGCTCATCCTCTCTGGGATCCGCCCCTATCCAGCACGGCCCGTTGGCCCACGACCCATGATCACACTCCTGCTCCGGATCCTCAAGCTCTTCCAAGTTTAGGCCCAGTTGCAGGTCTAGGTCCACGTACTCGGGCATCTTGGCCTTACCCCGCAAGGCCGTCAATTACTGGGCCGTCGAAGTGGGTAATAGGCCGCCCTTGTCAGTCGAGCCGAAGGAGACGTGGCCCGCACGCGAGGGAGGTGGCCGGCTAGGGTTGGCCGCCACCTCAGTTTCCTTCTCCCCCGTTCCCTCCGTCGGTTCTCCAGCCAAGAACGACTCGACGCCCTTGTTGCCGACCGCTGCCGCCGAGGCGGAGCCCTCCCCCGGCGTCCCGCCTTCCTCTGTCGGCTTCCCGCCGTTGCCAACTACCGCCCCGCTTCTCTTCAAAGCCTCCAGCACCGCGCGGGTTGCTTCTAACGTAGCCGTCAGGCTGCTCATCTGACTTTGCAGTGCCTCAACCGTCGCCAGCAAAGCGTGAAGGGTGCGGCTGAGATCTTTTGATTTTACCTACAACCCTTTCAAACTCTCCTCAACCCGCATCTGTTTCCACCATCTTTCTTAGCTCTTCGTTCTCCGTGATATCCTCCACGGCTCCATCAGCGGGTGTTCCGGCCGTCCTGGCCTGGGTTGCCTTGTCCTGCGCCGCCTTTTTAGCCTTGTCCGCCGCTGTCATTGATTTCGTCAACACCATCGTTTGCTTGCCCTGGTTCAAGAGTTCAGAAGAACTCACTCTCGAGCCAGGCTCTGATACAAGATGTTAGAAACAAAGATTTCTAACGGGTTGGGAATGAGAAACTAGACTGATCAATTAGGGATTGATCGATCTAGCGATTGAGATTTGAGTAGAATTAGAAGAATGAGGGAGGAGAGGGGACGCAGCTGCTGCCTTTTGGAAGAGAGGAGGGACGCAGAGAGGAAAGAGGAAGGAGAGAGAGAGATGATTAGGGTTGGGCATTATTTCCTGTAATTGCCTCTCTCACAAACCTACGTATTACAGAATATATATTCCTTCTAATTACTTTCTACTACCTCACTAATTCGACTTATCACTTAACCCCCCTCCCCCCCCGGCCGCCTTATTTCCAAATTCTCCAAATAGTACTAATTCGCAAAACAATGATAAATAATCCGAAACCGACAAAATAACAAATAATTATGTTTCTAACATAAAACAAGAATTTGAATCGTGTGAATCTCTTGAGCAACTGAGGCGATCAAAGAAGATGACTTACAAGCTCTCTTTGATGTATTAAAAGAGTTTTGTGTGCAATACCAGTCACCAAAACCAATTACTTGAGAATAAACAGCAAACCTTTCCATTCAACACTACCAGCCTACCTTTCCAAGAAAAGCTTCGTACGGCTACAAAAGAATGGAGAGAAGCTCTCACTAGCACGTGTACATTCCTATCATTTATGTATACAAAAATTGGGGTTCATCATCTTCATTCTTTCACCGTGATCAACTCAAGTTTGAAGAGACAAAAATGAAAGTTTCTTCCCGACAAGGAATTGTCAAGCCACCCATTTGATGATCAAAACCAAACTCCTCTTCCGCCATACTCAACAGATCCTGAAAGGAAGGACGGCTCAAATACGAAACTGGCACTACAAACCTCTTCCTCTGTGACTCGCCAACATATATTGCTAAGTAACCCTTTGGCACGTCTGCGAACCTCGACGACGAGGACAATGATTTTCTGGAGCCACCGGAACCAGTCCGTCGAAGAATTTGCTTAGCAATGTTACCTGGCAACCCAATACCCGTGATGCTATCTTTAGCTTAGATTAACTTAACTCGTGGTGATGGAAGAGCCGAAGAGAGAAGATCCCACTGAACAATTGGGAGACTTGCAATGTTTTGTGGGTTGTGATTTGCGAATTGAACAACTACTATAAGACCTTTTATATAGATTAAGTATTTCAGGCATCCCATCTATAACAAAGAACAACCAAAACTAATATTTGGGATATAGTTCAGGCAAACTCACATGCTCTTGTCTTGCCAACGATGGAACAAAATGCATAGGGGCCATTGTAGGGTACCCTACAGCTGAAAGACTCTCTATGGTGAAGCTTACTGTCGAATTTAGGTAGGAGACATACTAGCAACGGATTGGTGCAAATTAAGCAGCAAACAAATCCATGCCTTCCTATGAGATCGATTTTTTCACATGGACCTGTCTTATAACTACATCACATACGTGAATGAGATGAGATGTATTAAGGACTACCATGTCCTATAACAACCACACAGAATTATAGAACAGTATAGTGGAATTTCTTCCAATTAGACTCCCTTAGAAAATTAGGGTCTCACTCATTTTCTCCTCCCAACATTGCCTAAGGCATGTCCCCTACACAAAACATGATAGTTAGCTTCACCATAGAGATAGAAGAATCATCATGTGGCCATTCATTGGTGATTTGGTCTAATCCCCTCCAATTGTAGGGCATATACCTTGTCAGGTCTCCTTACTTATGCTCCATCAATCCAAGGCAGAAGTATGTGACATTCTAATTGCCATCACCTAAAACCTTCGTTTATATAACGGTTCTCATGAGCTCATTTCAGAAACCAAACTCACATCAAGCCTTCTAATTGTCTTTTGGAGATCTACCCCCTTTCAGTTCACATCTTTTCTTCCACGGAAACTCGAACCGGAACACAGAAGTACCATATGGCTATTGGCTTGTCAGATAACCTTGCAAAGCAGATTCTTCGAAGATCAGGCTCGAGCTCGAGCAAATCATCTTCTTCAAGATATCCAGATGTGCCGAAGGGTTACTTAGTGGTTTATGTAGGAGAGACACATAGTAAGAAGCGGTTCGTGGTGCCAGTTTCGTACTTGAAGCAGCCTTCATTTCAGGACTTGCTGAGCATGGCTGAAGAGGAATTTGGTTATGATCATCCAATGGGTGGCCTGACCATTCCCTGCTGTGAAGAAACTTTCATTTCTGCTACGTCAAACCTTAGTAGATCATAAGACCAAATGAGATGAAGCATTGAAGATGAAGAATAACAATTTTGTATAGCTAACTAGGATACTAGAAACGATACTTTTTGTAAATATAGTAATAGAGCTTCTCTTCTATCTCTTCTGCATTTTCAGCTTCCCTTCTAATTGCCACCTCTGTAATGGCTTCTTAAAGAACTAAAATGTTCCTTCTCTGAAAATATAAGCATCAATCAGTGGCGACATGATACACATTTTACTAACAACCACTTCGTCCCATAGTTAGTAGTGAGTTGCAATTTGCGACTGCCGAAATTCTAACACAAAAACTCTCTACCATCGAAAGTGCTAATAGTGCCACCATAAAAGCCAGCTCATCTCAATGAGTCCTGTTGTTGGGAGAGACAACTCCAGATGTGACTCTTCTCACACCTGATGATCTAAACGTTATTCAAATTTCATCTCTACTTCACTAAGATGGAATACCAATTGCTTACCTTTTAACTAATCCGATATGGTAAATAGGTAATCAGTTAATTAAACTTCATATATGTTTCCCATCTTCTTTCCGAGACATACCCTTGTGCAATATCTGATCGTATCGACGAATGTCTAAGTGACTGTTCTATTGACATCCACCGAAGGTCTCACAGGGTATTCTGTGTGGCTGCTGTAGGACAGGGTACCCTTATTACATCCCATCTCTGTTACATATGCCCTGTAGTTAGAAGGAAGCTCCGTGTGAACATCGATCTCATTGGATTTGAATTTGCTTGCTTCTTAATTGCCTCAATGAGCTGCTATGATGGATACGCAAGTTGGTTGTCTAAGCAATGTCTCCTACCTAAATTTCACACAAAGCTTCACCATAGATCAGTAAGGATATGACATCATGTGGCCCTCCATAGTCAGCCCTCCTAGCTGTAGGGTACCCTCCAATGCCCTCCCTGCATTTTGTTCCATTGGAGGCAAGGCAAGAGCATGTGAGACTGCCTGAACTATGTCCCCAATATTGGCTTTTGTTTCTCTCAGTTGTAGATGGGTTGCCTGGAATACTTATATCTATATAAATGGTCTTATAGTAGTTGCTCAATCCACAAATCTCAAGTTCACAACCAGCACAAACAAAGTACTATAAATACTTCTCATACTCCTCTGTAATCTGCAATCTCCTTGATATAGTGAAACTGGCTCTCTCTCGCCCGTGGAATAGCTAACACACATCGTGTTAGTGAACCACGTAAATCGTGTGTCTGTGTTTTCGATTCTCGCTTTCGTATTCTTGCTTTGTTTATTCCGGCGATTTCCTGATTTGCAGCAGCGCGTTTATAACAAGTGGTATCAGAGCCACGGCTGGAAATCAGGCTAGGGTTTTCGATTCAGAAGAATGACGTCGGTGAACATGCAGATCGAAAAGTTCACAGGGAAGAGCAGGTTCACTATATGGCAGATCAAGATGCAGGCTTTATTGAAACAGCAAGGGCTGTGGGGGCCGCTGTCTGCGAAACAGAAGAAGGCAGTGGTCGATGACGATGAGTGGAATACCCTAGATGAGAAGGCCCACTCGACCTTTATGCTATCGTTGTCTGATGACGTCATCATTGAAGTCGCTTCTGAGAAGACTGTCGCGGGCTTGTGGTTGAAACTCGAGAGTCTGTACATGACTAAGTCTCTAACCAACAAGCTGCATCTCAAGCAACGGTTGTTCAGGTTGAGGATGCAAGAAGGTATGCCTTTGAGGGAACATCTCGAACTGTTTAACTCTATTTTGCTGGATCTGCGTAATATAGATGTTCAAGTTGATGACGAGGATGCTGCCCTAATCCTGCTGGTTTATTTTCCGAGTTCATATGAGAATTTCGTTGATTCTTTTATTGCCGGTAAAGAAAGCGTGTCGTTGGAGGATGTCAGGTCTGCTTTTCATAAGAGAGAGATCAGGCATAAGGCGTCCGAATGTGGTACAGGTGGTGAGGCATCGGGTTTGGTTGTTACAGGTGGAAAGGGAAAGAAGAAATCTAGTAAAGGGAATTCGAACAAGAATTCCAAGGGTCCCGGTCCACAGCCAGGTGATGCTTGTCACAACTATAAGGAAGTGGGGGCATTGGAAGTACAACTGTCCCAAGAGAAGATAGCAACAAAAGAAACAAGGTTTAGTTGTCGTGGCAGAAGTGGACAACAGTTCTGAAGACGATCTCGCCTTGGCTGTAGTGAGAATTCACATCGTGGGGATGTGTGGTTTCTGGATACTGCAGCATCATACCATATATCTCCGAACAGGGATTGCTTCACAATCTACGAGCAGATAGATGGTGGTAACGTGGTCATGACAAATGGAGCTGTCTGCAAGGTTATTGGAATCGGGTCCATAAAGGTTCGGGCACATGATGGTTCGTTCTGTACCGTGATTGATGTCAGACATGTTCCACGAATGACAAAGAACCTGATCTCCTTGAGTCTACTCGACAGCAAGGGTTTCAGCTTCAAAGGAAAAGGTGGTGTTGTGTATGTCTGCAAAGGTTCAAGGAAGGTGCTGAAGGGCGTGAAGCGTGGGACCTTGTATGCATTACAAGGTTCTGTGTTGTCTGGTTCTGCTGCAATTGCATCATCTCAGGTTCATCAGGAAGATATGACCACTCTCTGGCACATGAGACTGGGGCATATGAGTGAACATGGGATGCAAGTTCTATCGAAGAGGGATCTTCTTTGCCGGCACAAGGTGCAGAATTTGGAATTCTGTGAGCATTGTGTGTTTGGGAAGCTACATCGCTGCAAGTTTCCCAAGAAGGGTCTCCACCGGACGAAGGGGATACTGGATTACCTCCACTCCGACTATTGGGGTCCTTCACGAGTTGAATCCATTGGAGGCAGCATGTATTTCCGCCTATTATTTATGATTATTCGAGATTTACTTGGATTTTCATGATGAAGCAGAAAAGGGAGGCTTTCACGAAGTTCAAGCAGTGGAAGACATTGGTGGAGAATCAGACTGGTAAGAAGATCAAGAAGCTGCGAACGAACAATGGTCTGTAGTTCTTTAATTCTGAGTTCAACGAATTCTGCAAGGATGAAGTGATTGCCCGTCATCGGACCGTGAGAGATACACCCCAGCAGAATGGCGTTGCAGAAAGGATGAACCATACATTGTTGGAGAGAGCACGGTGCATGCTCTCTAATGTTGGACTAGAGAGACGATTCTGGTCTGAAGCAGTGAACATGGCGTGCTTCCTGATCAACCGTGGATCTCACACAGGTATCGAGTTTAAGACTCCTTATGAGGTGTGGTATGGTAAGTCTGCTGATTACTCTTCACTGAAAGTTTTTGGGTGTCCTGTTTATTATCATGTGGATGAGGGTACTGAACCTAAGGGCAAAGAAGGGTGTATTTAAGGGTTACGGAGATGGAGTTAAGGGATTTCGAGTCTGGTCACCTTCTGAGCATCGAGTTATACTTAGTATAAATGTGATATTTGATGAGAAGTCTATGTTTAACCCCATGTTAAAGGTTATTGTTGTTGAAGGTAGTAGGAATGTTGATAAGCAGGTGGAGTTGCAAACTCTCAATGAGAGTGAGTTTGAGCACCAAGGTGGAGAAGATCAACATGAGGATGTTTCTACAGAGCCAGAAACTTCAAAGTCCAGTGCAGGAGCTCAACAGTCTATAGCTTCCGGTAGACCAAAGAGAGCGATTGCAGGAGTACCTCTAGAGAGGTATGGTTTCGAGGACATAGTGGCGTATTCATTTCAGGTTGCTGAAGAAGTGGATGCAGGTGAGCCACAGTCCTATAGAGAAGCCATTTTGGGTGGCGAAGCTGATCAGTGGCTTGCCGCAATGGGGGATGAGATGGAATCCCACTACAGGAATCAGACTTGGGAGCTAGTCAAACGACCACAGGGAAGAAAGATTGTTACAAACAAGTGGATCTATAAGAAGAAGGAAGGAATCACTTCTAAAGAGGGCATGAAATTTAAAGCTCGGGTGGTTGCACGAGGCTTCTTGCAGAGGGAAGGAGTTGACTACAATGAGATTTTCTCACCAGTGGTCAGACATACTTTGTTCAGAGTGCTATTAGCAATAGTGGCACATTATGACTTGGAGCTCGAGCAGCTAGACGTGAAGACAGCTTTCCTACATGGAGATTTGGAGGAAGAAATTTACATGACTCAGTCAGAAGGATTCCAGGTTCCGGGAAAAGAAGACTATGTTTGTAAGCTGAAGAAGTCCTTGTGGACTTAAGCAGTCTCCGTGGCAGTGGTACAAGAGATTTGACAGTTACATGCTTGAGCTGGGCTACAGCAGAAGTCCATATGATTGTTGTGTGTATCACAATAAGATGGAGGATGGTTTGATGATCTATCTTGTTCTGTATGTGGATGATATGCTCATAGCTGCGAGGTCGAAGTCTGATATCCAGAAGTTAAAGGGGCTTCTCAGTGCTGAGTTTGAGATGAAGGATTTGGGAGCTTCTCAGAAGATCTTGGGTATGGAGATTTTACAGGGACAGGTCGAAGAAGAAGCTTTTCTTGTCACAGAAGAGCTACATCCAGAAGATACTGTCGAGGTTTGGCATGTCTTCAGCAAAGCCCTTAAATACTCCTAGTGCTTCAAATGTTCATCTATCCTCAGCTTATGCAATGCAGTCAGAGGCTGAGAAGGAGTACATGTCGAGAGTCCCATATGCTAGTGCAGTAGGTAGCTTGATGTACGCTATGGTATGCATTAGACCTGATCTTGCACATGTTGTTAGTGTTGTCAGCAGGTTAATGATACAACCTGGGAAGGAGCATTGGCAGGCTGTGAAGAGGATCTTTCGGTACCTTAAGGGTACACCTGATGTGGGGATTAGCTTCGGAAGTGATACAGAGTGCTTGGTGTCTAGGTATTCTGACTCGGACTATGCTGGAGATGTTGACACGAGGAGATCGATGACCGGTTATGTATTCACTCTTGGGAGTTCTTTAGTGAGTGGGAAGGAAACTCTGCAGTCGGCGATGACATTATCTACTACTGAGGCAGAGTATATGGCGTTGAC